GGGTCACCAGCCCAGCACACGAACGGCTCTTGCTGCAGCCCGCGCACTCCCCGCCTGGTCAGCGCCATCCTGGCCGTGCACGTGAACGGCTTTTCTTGCAGCCCGCGCACTCCTCGCCAGATCGGCCCTGGCCGTGGACATGTGGACATGGTCCCTGCTCTCTGCAGCTGTGCTGCGTCGGGCGCCGCCGTGCCTAGGGAGGCTGGTCATCAGAGTCGAGTCCAACGGCGGCCACCTCTCGCACGCCACGACCAGGGGCGCCATACCGCGAGGGAGCTGGAGCTGTCCTTGAGCGAGGCCAGCGCCGTGCACGCGACCCTCTCCTTAGGCAGCCAGTGGGCCCTAGGCTGGCTGACGCGCGTCGAGCTGAAGTTCGACGGGGTGGCTGGGCCCGGCGCCTTCGGAGCCTTGACTTCGACGTCGGGCCTGGACAGGCCTCCGCGGTCCTCCTCCTCCTCCCCCTCTCCCTCCTCCCCCTTCTCCTCCTCCCCCCTTCTCCTCCTCTGTCTTTTAATCATCTATTAATTGCTGTGCATTGGTGCGGGTCTATCATGCTAGAGACGTGTTAGATGTGAGGTAGATCGTCGGCGAGGCTCTAATTCTGCGCGATATGTAGACGTCTATCTGCTAGAGGTGTTAGACGGAGGGTAGATTGTGGGTGTCGCTCTAGTTTATGTGTGGCCTGTAGATGTCTATTTTGCTAGACGTGTTAGATGGAGGGTAGACCGTCTCGGACTATCTATTCTTTGCACGATCTGTAGACGTCTACCCACCTAGAGGTTCTAGATACGAAGTAGATGGTCTCACACGTTCTATCTCCAGTATATTGCTAGACGTCTAACGTGTTAGAGGTAGTAGACAAAATCTAGACCCCCTACATCTAGCAATAGACATCTATTTATCATCTACTAGACATCTTGGGCTAGACGTCTAGCTGTATAGATCACCTAGACAGACTTTAGATCATCTATAGAAATCTATAGACGTCTATTTTCTCTTAGGGTGTATTTAGAAATCGTATGACATTTGGAATTTTCCTAAACATTCCTAAAATTAGTTTTACTCTACACAAAGAAAGAGTAAGGTTTCTGAAAGAAATAATCTTTTGAAAGATGTAAAGCACTTTTCTAAAGGGTAACTTGATAGAAATTTTGTCCGTTTTGCTCTTTGAACCGTTCAGGCGGTAAAGGGATATTTGAGACAAAAAACAGTGTAAGGCTTAGGCTTAGTAAACCGCTGTTAGGTTTAGGAAAAAATGTCAGGGTTCATCTTACTTTTATGAAAGTAGCCTTTCAATTTTCGGAGCTTCAACGAAATCGGAGATTTACACATGAAAAGGTTCCCTTGTCATCAAGCAGAGCAGTGCGCACCCTGGTATGCGTCCGTCCCGGGGCGGCTGGGGCTGGTGCTTCCTCCAGGGTGTCATCGGGGGCGCCGACGCAGAGGGTGCCGCTAACCCCTGCCATCACACACGACGACACAGCTGCTAAGGGGTCTTGCGCAGAGCGGCAGTCTTGGGAGTGCGGTCCGGGGCGGGGTTGCCGAGCTGAAAGGGGGCGGGGGAGAGAGAGGGGGCACGGCGTGGGACATGCCCCACCGAATAACGAACAAATGTATTAATCAGTAAAGATTAATGGTGAACGAACCAGTTCGATTTAGGATGTAAGGGGGGGGGGGAGGGATGTGTAACAGACCTACGTACTTTGAATATGGTACGTCCGGAACCAAATGTGAATGTTCATATTATGTGTTTTGAATGACTAAGGTCGTTTTGAAATAGAGAACGTTTTGGTTGGAGAGATTTAACAGCGGTGAGAGGAAGGCCAAGTCGGGCTCATTCGATTTTTAGGCAATTTTCGTCATGTTACGACATTACCTTTTCGGGTCGAGGTCGTTGGGTTACAAACTACCACCGAACTAACGATATTCTATCGAAGTAGACACCATAGCACTTGTAAAATGGTCGTGGTCAGTCTCACTGAAGCATAAATTGTTGTTTACAGTTCAAGTTCACAAAATATATCCAAAATAAGTACCAATTTGATGTTTTCAATTAAACCTCGTAAATTTTAAGAAAATTTCACTTGAAACAATAAAAAGTTGGTGATAAAAACTGTTGTTGTATCAGCAGCTATTACAAAAAGCAAGGAGATGTTCGCTCGTATGTATTGTAATAGTCACATCTATACGTTGGTAGCCGTGTCACCTGTCAACTGTCATCGCCTAAATGAACACATGTCAAACTGCAAATAAACCATTCTGCCAGACCACCTGATACTTGTCGTACTGCCAGTCACTCCCCCTCTCACATCATCAGGGCTCATCTGCTCCCTCCGGACACGACATGGCACAGCCGGTGAATTCGTCGGTGGTAGGCAGAGTCAGCAGGCCGTTTCCACGGATTGGACCCCGAGACCCGAGGATCTCAAGCTCCAAGTCTTAACTCTAGTCAAGCTCAACCAACCGGCGTCTAGAAGTCAGCATGAAAACCGGAGCTACGTGAGGAGCTATTACCTTGAGCACCTGAGCTGGAGCAGAACTTGAAGCTGAGTATTCTGTTTGCTGCCACTAGGACCTCTAAATGTACTGTGTATTGGACGGGTCCTATGTGGCCAACAACTGTACCAGCCTGCAGTCCGCAATGTGTTTGGTTTATGCACGGACCACTCCGTCTGTGCAACAATGAATCAACGTCAGAGGCAAAGCTGCACAACGCTGGACGGCGTACTTGCAAGACAGTCGGTGTCAAATTTTGGCGACGGGGAGATAGTTTGGAACTATTTTAAAGGGATTGCAAACATCTAAGTTTCCCACAGGATCCTCAAAACGTTCCTCAGAAGTACGAAGAGGAAGTACCGATAAATGAACTTTGCCTAATGTGTGGTGGTAGGAACCGTAGTAGCTCGAAGGAGAACAACAAATTGCATTTATTGCAATGTTATGGACACTTAATCTTCCCCAAACGGTGCCGCTGGCGCCACCCGCATTGGCGCCACGCCCAGCGCCGGCACCTCCCGCCGCGCACAGCAGGGCGACGCGGGGGACTCGCACGGTGGACGCAGAGCCTCGGGGCACCGGTTCACGGGTCTGGCTGGAAGGAGCGGACGCACCAGCGCGAGCTGCAGCGCGACCAGGCGGGGGTGGTGGCGGCTCCATGGAGTCGGCTCTGCAATCCCAACAGAGAGACGGTCACGGCGACACGCGGCACGCCCAGAACCCCTATCGCAATGCTCAGCATTCACTAACAAGAAGGAAGTCCACATCAGGTGACCTACACTCACCCTTCCCGCGTCCCCGCAAGCATCGGCGCGCGAGGCGCGCATATCATAATTTAGTGAATAGCAGGGCGAAGCAGTGGGTGGTGCGAGGAACCGGGTCAGTAAGGGACAGGAAATTGGACGACCCGATAGAAGGCCAGTTGGCTGGCTCCGGCTGGCTCACGCCGCGCACTTTCGTAGTTGTACTGTACCGCATGCACCGTGCAGGCGGGTTTCCCTTCCCACGCCCCCACGGCTCCTCACGGCCGCGTGCGAGTAGGCAACCTAACTAAAACTAGTCGACTAAAAATAGTCGACTTTTTTAGTATATTTTTGGTAGTCGATTAATTTTTTTGTGAATTTTTTAGTTTATCTTTAGTAGTCGACTGTTTTTTTCAGTATGTTTTTTTACTCAGTAATAGTAGGTGGGAAGGTTCTAGGTGGGACAGGTGACATACACTGTTATATCAAAGGCGTCCCGTCAGAGTGCGACAAAGGTGTAGGCTACAGAAACCAGTGCGACTTAAGTCGCAGTCTGGGCATACACCTTTGTCGCACTGCCAC